GGGGGGGGGGCTTGGAGGGGGTACTAGACCCTTCCTAGGGGCTGGAGTGGATCTCTGGACATCCCCTATACCATCCTTTCCCCCACCCCCACCCTGCTCAGTGCCCCTGGAAATGAGGTCTGTGCATTTGAATCTTGTGCAAATTAAACATCTGTCTATGTGGGTGGTGGTGGGAGGGGACGATATGGGGCTTGTACCAAGACGGCCCAAACAGGAGTGTGGCCTGGGGTTCTGAGCCAGGGGGCAGGACCTGGGACAAGTGGCAGCTGGAGATGTTGGCACCCAAAGACCCCCAGACAGGAAGATAGTGCGCCTCATCGACCCCTGTTCAGCTTCCTTAGCAATTTACTCTGCTCTTCCCTGGGGACTGATGTGTTGGACTCCACCAGCAGGGAGTGACTTTGTTCCTGCATGGCCTGGAGCCCCCTGCCAGTAGGTGCAGCCCTGGGATTGGATAGGATTGGATAGGATCAGTGAGCAGACCCTGGGCTGGCTGGGAGGTGGGGATTAGGAGAGAGGCCCTGGCTGGGCTGGCTTTTCCACTGACGGGAGGAGAGCAAAGGGCAGGAGATGTGGCCTCAAGGAGGAACAGACTGGCCATGGCCCATCTGCACACTCTGGGCTTTGGCAGCCAGAAAAGACAGCCCTTGTACGTCAAGGTAACCTGCACTGATTCCAGTACAGACAGGGTTCCTAACTGGCAGAGGACATGTGCAGCCTGGGTCTGTACCCTGTAGGGCAGGGGGAGGCTTGGGGACCACGAGGTCCTTGGAAAGTGGGGTCTGGAGGTTTTAGCAGGAGCCACTCCCCAAATTCCAGGAGCCCTGCTTTGAACTCCTGTCTCATTTGGGGACCACTGAGGAGCATTTCCTAGGGCCACAACTTGGAAAGAGTTCCTGCGAGCGCTTCCACGCCAAGTACTCAGCAGGAAAGCCTGGCAGAACGAGCCAGCTGTCTGCAACTTTGCCCCTTCTGCCCTGGCTCAGTGGGGCCACACGCACAGGGAGAGTTGAGTTGAGGTCAGAGGTCTTCCAAGACAGGCTGGCTTATGGCTGCCCTTCTGCATCTCAGGATTTGTGATGGACTCGGTCTCAGGCTGAGACTGGTGGTCCTGCATGTCAGGGCAATGCAGATCAGTCGGAGGGGGTCCAGGTCCATGAGTGAGGCTTGATGGGGCATGAATGTGGCCCATGCCCATTAGACAGTGGTAATTCTGGTGTCAGAAGCTTAAGGGTAAGTCTAGTTCTTAATTAGAAGCCTTTGCTGTGTTGAGGACCTTACAGATGGTAGCGAATCTAATCCCTTCTGTCCCCAAAGTTAAAAATGCACAGTCTGAGATGGCAAGGGGCAGTGAAATGACTTTCTGAGGTCGCTTGGCTAGTAGGAGGTGGACTTGCCCTTGGGCCCCAGCCTGCACTGAGTCTCTGCTTCCTGCAATGTTAGGTCCTTTGTGCTAAAGCTCTGATGCTGAGGCATTTCCGCTTCTGGCTTTGGGGGATGGAGGGGAGAGAGAGCGCCCCTGGGCACCTCGGAAGGCTCCTTCCTGTGGCAGGGACCCAGAGCAGCGCTGTCCAGGAGAAATACAGTGTAGCTGTGTGTGTCATTTAATATTTCCCAGTAGCCACACTGAAAAAAGTGAAAGACACAAGTGAAATTAATTTCGTTGATCCCAGTACAGCCGGAACATTATCATTTTCACATCTAATCAATATAAAACATGATTAAGGAGATATTTTATTTTATTTCATTTTATTTTTTATGAAGCCTTTGAATTCCATTGTGCCATTTACACACCTCAGTTGGGAATGGCCGCATTTGAAGGGACCCATGGCCGCACGTGACTTCTGTATCAGTGTGGGCCTGGAAGAAGGCTGGCCGCTTCCTTGCCACCTGGTGTCTGGTCTTGCCACAAAGCATTTCCATCTCCCAGGTAGCACAGTCCTTTGTGTATTTGTCTCCTGCCCTCCAGACCTCCTCATGCAGATCCTCGGGGACCTTGTCCAGAGTGCCAGGAGCCGGAGCATTGGCATCCTCCACCCCTCCTTCAACTTGGGCAGGCACATCCAAAAAAGTCTTCAGAGACACCTCCCAGACAATATCCACAGGCTCATCTCTGGCAAAATGTGCATTTCACTCACCAGGGTGTCTGATGGGGAAAACGTGCTGGTGTCTGATTTTCAGTCCAAAGACGAAGTTGTGGACGTAAGCAGTTTGCTTATTTGGGCCTTGTCAAGTAAGAAAAGCTATTTCTTTTTGGAAGCAACACAGAGAGGGCTGCCGTAGGCCACCTGCGTCATTTCTTAAGATGCAAAAGACCCTGGCTGCCCAGATGCTGGTTTGCTTCCTGCACCACTCTGTGTGCATCGGTGGTCGGTGGTCTATAACCTGTATAGATCCCGGAATGGCCCTGGTTGGTTTCAGTTTCAAATACTACCTCCCTGTCCTTTAAGACTTGGCTCCTGATCCCCTCCTCCAGAGACCCTGTCCCATATATGTCCCTCCTCCCACAATGTATATTCCTAGCACATACAACCAGGAGCATCTCAGCAGCCACGGTCCACCTCTATTTAAGCTTGTTTCCAAAAGCTTTTTCTAGATAGCCAGCACTGATCCATTCCAGCAGGAGTAGGTTTTCTCAGTGGGCCGGTCTTGCTCCCTGTCCCCCCCCCCCCGCTTCCCGGCCAGGATCCACAGCATCAGCAGCATCCAGAAACTTCGCTGGCTTCCAGGCTCTCAGGCCCCACCAGCCTGCTGAATCAGAATCCTGGGGTGGGCCATGGAGTCTGTGGTTGACCAGCCCTCTGGGCGATTCAATGAATTTTTTGCAAAGCCCTGCTCTGGTGTCTTCCCAGTCAGTCAGCGACTCTGGGTCCTCTGGGTGGCGTCTGCAAGGGCCCAGTGCAGCTCTTGTGGGGAGAGGGACAGGAAGTTGATGTCCACAGTGTCATTAGGAGCTTTTACTTAGGCCTGAAATACAAGTGTGTAGTTTGGTTCGTCATTTGTTCAGCTTGTTTATTAAAGCGCCCCCTTTGCAAAGAGCATCTTAGGCCTGTTGCTCTGTTCATCTGAAGAAGGCTTACGCGGGCCCCCAGGAGATCAGAAGGCAGGCTGTTTGGGCCTCTGGTTTCACTTCTTTTTGTCTTCGCAGGCCTTGGTCTGTTCCAGCTTCATCCCTTTCTTCAGCGGCATAATCCCTCCTTCCTTCAGAGGCGTGGTGAGTCTGCTTTTAAATTGTCTGCCCAGTTCCTGCCTGCAGGGCACCAGCCACAGGCACCCGGGGGCCTGTCCCCAAATGCAGAGCCTTTTGCCTCTTGGCCTTTCAGACAGAGGTTCCCCAGCTAGCCCCCTTCTAGGCTGCCTGGGCAGCATGGCCACTTTCATGTAGAATTAATTATCTCGCTATCTAGAAGGTAAGCTGATTCACTTAATCTTCACCTGAGCACCCCAGATAGGTCCTGCTGGCCTGGTTAAGCTCCAGGGTGCTTACGAGTCCGTTCCTTGCTTAGGGTAGAGCTTTATTTTCAGCGCTTGAGAGTTTGCAGCCTGTCTGGGTCTGCCTTTGTCCTTTTTGGCCCATGGCTTTGGGCAGAAGCTGCTGACAGGGCTTCAGTTTGGTTCCATCCCACAAATATGTGTTGTGGCCGATTGCTGAGCCCTGCCTGGAATGGAGAGACCCAGGTTGTAGTGTGTGTTCTGCTGGCTTTGGACTAGATGCTGGCCGATGCTGGGCCACTGGCAGACTCCTTCTAGGGCCATGGTGATCACCCTGGGGGTGATTCTGCCGCCGCCCCCCCCGACCCTGGGACAGTGTCTGGAGACAGTTTGGGTTGCCATAACTGGGGGAGTGCTCCTGGCGCCTCGTGTGTCGAGGCCCGGGGGGCTGCTGACACCCTGCAGGGCACGGGCCGGCCCTCTCCACAAAGAATGACCTGGTCCTAAACATGAGTAGTGCCCAGCTAAGACATCCTGTCCTGAGAGAGAAGACACGACGCCTGAATGTCCCAGGGTGGTGGCGTCCTCATGCTGTGGGGCAAAGGCAGAGGCATGTCACGCCGAGAGCTTCACTCGTGCCCAGGAGCAGCCCCGTGACAGACACATTGTCCCTGCTTCTGGATGAGAAAACAGGCCCGGAGCAGTGCAGGGGTCACCCCAGATGCCCACGGCCTCTGCTTGGCAGACAGACCCGGACCGAATCCCTCCTCCCGCACACGTTAGCTGGACGGGTTTGGACATATTTCTTAACCTCTCTGAGATCTGTTTGCAAAACGAGGGTTCATCATAGTGTAGCGTCGTAGAGGTGTCGTGAGGCTCGCATGGGCCAGGGCCTCGAGGTGCTTGGCATAGAGCCTGGCACGGGGGAGTCTTCAGAAAGTGGGGGCTGTTTCTATTGTCTTGCCCACCTCACCCAGGCTGCCCCAGCCCCCCCCCCGGGGGGGGGCGGTCACACATTCAGTACACGCCAGTGAAACCCGCGGAGAACCAGAACAGCTCCTTCTTGATTCCACCAAGCAAACTCAGAACGTTACTATACGAAAATTTGGAATGGAAGGGAAAAGTCCATGTGACAAGGCACATCGGACTTGAGACTCTCCCTTGAGTGAGAAACAGTCAGCCTGCTTTCTTCCTTAGGGTTCCCGAAGGTTCCCGACGTTCTGATCCATGTCCTTTTCTGCCAGGGAGGTTTCTGAGGCTTCCTTACATCTTCCATGGAAATTGTGTGGCTACGATTTTGAAAATACCACTGTGTACATGCCTGATCATCTTTTGGACTCAAGGCAAGACTCTCTGGATAGCTAAGGCACGGCTGAGCATGGGTGGTTCTTCTCTGGACTTGCTTTAGGTCTCGGGAAGGACTGGCTGTGATATTTGAAGGCCTTTCTCTGTGGGCACCGGCAGCTGGGCTGGGATGGCCTCGGATTTGGGAATCATTCTAGACATTGCTTTGAGCAGTCCAAGACTTTGTCCAAATTGTACCCAACTCTGCCTGTGCCAGCCTAAGGTTGTCGCAGGGTATGGATATAGGAAGCCTGATGCTTGCGGTAGCTGATCCCAAATGCCACTAGGTTGTGGATTCAGAGGAGGTTTTCCGAAGGCTGCCCTGGTTCCAGGTTCACTGCCATTTAAGTCTCCAAAGCTCCTCAAGGTGCTGGTTCTGATTTTCCAAGCAGCAAGGGGGGGTCTGGAATTGAACCCATGACCTTCCGTCTCTTTGAGGGCAGGGTCAATATCATACTCTGTCCCCGGTGCGCACAGAGCCCCTGCTCTATTCGGCCCTTTTTGTGCAGATTACACGGGCGCACCTATAGGTACCCGCCTGGGCTTCGGACTTGGCCAGCAAACTATGGGCTGGGCTCCAGCCTCTGTCTGCCTCTTTGCCAGGTACTTTTTGTGCAGTGCACAAACTACACAACAGTATATATCACACTTGAGTGCCAGCCCAGAGCCTGGCCTGGCATAGAAATGCTCAGGAAAGCTTTGTTGAAAGAGTAGTTCTGGAACCTTGTCTTCCCACAATATCAGCCTGCGGCTCTGAGAAGGCTCTACCCATAATCCGAAAAAGCACAGAAGACACTCGCCCAGAGCTTCTGACAGTATGTCCTTTCTTCCTCCCCGTAAAAGCGATACATGGATGGAGGAGTAAGTGACAATGTCCCCTTCTTTGATGCCAAAACAACCATCACTGTGTCCCCCTTCTACGGGGAGTATGACATCTGCCCTAAAGTCACGTCGACGAACTTTCTTCACGTGGACCTAACCAAGCTCAGTTTGCGCCTCTGCTCCGAGAATGTCTACCTGCTAATGCGAGCACTGTTCCCTCCGGATCTCAAGGTGAGTTGGGGGCTGTGTGTTCTGGGGGTGCAGCTCTTCTTTGCTTCCTCGTTTGCCAGGATAGCTCCCAATTGTCCTTTCCACAAACAGAAACAGATCCCCCTCATCGAATAGGAACTCAGAGAGGAGTTTCTGGTCCCGGCAGCTCAGGGCTGCCCCACTCTGCCCATTGGAATCACCTGGGAAGATTTAAACAGCCCCGCAGCTCAGATTCCACATCCCCGGGCTCTGATTTAAGTAGTTGGGGTGCGGCCTGGGCAGTGCGATTTTTTTTTTTTTTTTTTGGAGGTATCCTGAGGATTCGTATTTGCAAGTGTGGTCAAGAGCCACACTGCATTTGGTGGTTTAATCTTTCTTGATTGTTGTTGTAGGAGGTCTTATCTCCCTAATAAAAAGAAAAGGTGTGAACCATGTACCCTAATGGTTCTCCGGGGAGAAGGAAGGCCGTGTGTATGCTGTACCCCAACAGCATGTACTCCAGGAGAGAGGGGAGGCTGTGCATTGGTTTGCATGTGTGGTTTGTGTCCAGACGAGTGGAGGAGGCCGCTGCTAATTGTCCCGTGACAACTAGCACAAGCCCCCATATTTGTGAGGGTGGAGGCTCGTGCGGGGACCAAGGGAGCCTAGGGAAATCAGCGCCTGTCATGCTGCGCTGCCAGCAAAGTCTTCGCGGAGGGGGTGTCGTTCGAACCTAGTCCCGTGTGGAAGTGGACTTCTGTCTCTTAGGAGCCCGGAGCCCTGTCGTCCAGCCTTGCCGTGGCCGTGCTGGGCCATGGGAGCAGCTGCCAGCGGGGAGGGCTCTGCTCTTGGTCTCAGCACTGCAGTTACCGTATTTGGTTTGTTGCCAGGAGCTTGGCGAGATCTGCCTTCGTGGGTACTTAGACACCTTGAGGTTCTTGGAGGAGAGCGGTACGTACGGGCGCGGTGAGGGTAGACCGGCCTTTTAACAAGCTTTTCGCTAGCCGTCACTGGAGCCTGGTGTCGGGTAGAAACTCAGCGCTCAGCGTCTCCACTTGGCACCTTGCTCAGCCCCTTCATTCCCTGGGAGATAGGAAATCTTGGCCCCAGTTTACAAATGGGGAGACAGCGGTGAGCCGGGGACCCCACCGAGGAACAGAGCTGGGGCTCGGCCGCGGGGTATCCCCGCCCCACGGCTCTCTCCTCCCTCAGTAATCCCCTGTCCGAACAGTGAAGGCAGTCCTGTTAGTTTTTCTTTGCTGCATGAACTATTTTGAATCTTTAGATAAACAAGGGAGGGAGTTTAAGCAGGGTTTCTGGCCCTGAGCCCCAAGTGGAGCAAGCAGAATCCTTGTCTCTGGCCAGGTGTGGGTCACACCCATGAGCCCAGCTGTCCTTTCTGGGGCAGGTTCCTGCCTTTGGGTCATCAGCGGGTCTGGGCGCTGGGAATTGGGCTCTCGCCAGTATTAGATGGATTGTCTTTAAGGCTAAAAGTTGGTTTCCCTACTGCTTCTCTGAATTAGTCTTTGGCCAAGACCAAGGAGTGGTGGTTAAAAGGACATACATGTATTTTTCGACTGGGAAATTGTTGCTTGTGCACCTTCAAGGTGCTAAGCCATTGGCTCAGTGCCAGGGATACCACGGGGAAGAGGCAGATGTGGTCTTTGTCCCTTGGGAGCTTAGCTTGCGGGTCAGGTGAGCAGAGAAGCAAGTGGAAGGAGGGCGTGTGCCAAGTGCCCTGATAGGAAGCTAAGGGACACTGTGGTATCACACGGGAGAGATCTGCATGGCCCGGGTGGGGGGAGGTAGGGCTTCAGGAGGATGTGAATCCTTGTTGCAACTTTGAGATGAATGGGAGTGTTCTAGGCATGGGGGACATGAGTGAGAGGCTTGCAGGCCACAGAGCACGTAGTAAGGTTGTAGGAGGGAAAGCAGGCACGTGTAACTGGAGTGGCAGGGCCTGCCCAAACTCCCTTACCTGGTGCTGCTTTCAAAGCCCCACAGCGGAAGAGTGTCATCCTTAATGTCAGACCTGGGGTCGAATTCCGCTCTTCCACTCACTGGCTGTGTGGCTTTGGGTGAGTCTCTTAACCTCTCTGTGCTTCTGATTTCTCTGCTGAAGTGGAGGGGCGGAGACCAGTGGGAATGGTCGTAATTGTTACGAAGTTCCTAACTCAGGGCCTGGAATACGGGCTTCACCAGTGGCCCAGTTATTATAAATTAGTTGTAATTCTTATCTTTCACCTTCATAAATCCACCCGTGGCTGTGGAGTGCACACAGCTAGTGAGTGACGAGCCGGAGCCAAACGCACATGTCTCCAGCTTCAAAACCCTACACTCGTTTCTCTCTCTTACACAAGCCCGAACGCCCGCCCTCATTTCTCCCCACCTCCTGCTTAGCCCATAACAGGCCTGCAGCTTCCTGGGCGCTTGCCTGCTGGGTTCCTGTCATTCTGCGGGTGGGCGGCTGCGTGAGTAATGACCCCCTGTTGCCCACATTCACTTGGTGGTCGGTTTCCCGTGTCCTTGGTAGGCATCTGCAACAGGCCCCATCCGTGCCTGAATTTACCCTCAGAGGAGTTGAAGACCCTTAAATTCACCTGGGGACACAGGAGCCTGGAATCTCCCCTGAGGGTGGCTACGGGGCGGACGAAGCCTGAGGGAGACGAGCTGCCGGACCACCTGCGTCTCAGCCTCCTGCCCTGGGATGAGAGCATCCTGGACACCCTGTCGCCCAAGCTCACTGCAGGTGCTCACTCCACAGGGGGGGCGGGCTGACAGAGGCGGTGGTTTTCCTGTGACAAAGAGAGAGAAAGAGAGAGAGACTGAAAGGGCTTTTTCTCTAGGTGCTTTTGAGGAAGGTAATCCTCATGTGGGAGGTGGGGCAGAGCGAGAGGGCAGGCCTGTTGGGGCCCCCACTCCTGGTACAGGCCTGTGCTCAGTCTCCTTTCCCACGGGGTCATGGCCAGAGGAGAGCAGACTCCAGCTGAGCCTGTTTTGAGTGAACCGGACACACTAGATGATGGGAGTGGGGGTGGGGGGCCCACAGGGGTGGGCCTGTTCTTCCAGAACCCCTCTCTGCCTGTTCACCCATCTCAAAGCCTTCTTTCTTGAGGAGCCCCCTTTCTCTGATTTCTCCCTGCCTCCAGAGCTGCAATTTTGAATCGCCATTGAGTGGTGATATACTTTATCATGTGATCAGCTATTAGGTGGACAGGCGTGCACATACCAGCTTCCGATTGGGCACTTGGAGAAGTTCAGAGACGGACGGGACGTCATCCCTTGCCCCAGGGCACTGGCACCTCTGTTAACTGCACTAGCCAACAGCTGTTGGGGCGAATGTGATTTGGGGCATCAGGAGGTCATTACAAAAGGGAACTAACAGGACAGATGGCTCTGGGCAGAAGGAGACACAGTCCAGCGGAAGGTTCAGGGAAAAAGCTCAGAAGTCGATGGGGTATTCGAGAAGTTTGTGTAGCCCTCCAAAAATAGTTATTTAAACGAGAGTGGTTCACTGAGAACCCTGTATCCTGCGGGCTATCTGAGGGCTGTTCTGGGCATACTCCTCATTTGATCTTATTTGTGAGTGCTTCTGATTCTTCAGATGCTGGGATTTGTGTATTTTTTTTTTTTTTAAGATTTTATTTATTTGCCAGAGAGAGAGAGGGAGAGTACAAGCGGGGGGAGTGGCAGGCAGAGGGAGAAGCAGGCTCCTTGCTAAGCAAGGAGCCCAATGCGGGGCTCGATCCCAGGACCCTGGGATCATGACCTGAGCTGAAGGCAGACGCTTAACCATCTGAGCCACCCAGGCACCCTGGGATTTGTGTATTTCATAGAAAATCCAAGCAGCCCCTCAGGAAGGTGGTTTGGTTTTTACCCTGGTGGGAGATACACCTGCACATTGTATTTTTCAGCACTGAGTAAAGCTGTTAAAAAACAACATGGATACGTGAGCAAGATTTGCAACTTCTTACCGATTAAGGTAATGTCATATGTGATGCTTCCTTGTACGCTGCCCGTGGGGTCTGCCATTGCTGTGGTCCAGAGGTGAGCGTTTTATGTGGTTTTGTGCTTTCCTCCTGGGGTTGGGTGGAGATTGAGAGAGTCCACGTAAGGGCCTTGACCTGTGGCCTGGCTCCTTGTAGAGTGCGATGGAGCTCACAGTCCATAAGGAGCACCCTGAAAAGTGCCTCATGGGGACCCCGCTCAGCCCACCTCTTTTCTCCATGCTGTTCTTGTTTGCCACTTCTTAGTAGTTGTACACTTTCATTTTGGGATTTTATTCCTGGGGTGTTGGGAGGACACGAGGCACACACTTGAATCCTGGGTATTTGTTTAACCTCTGCTTTCTTTAGATTTATGTTAGTGTTTACGGTCTTTTTAGTGAGTCAGTCAGCATGGCCTTTGGTCCATCTTTTAGAGGCCAAACCATCCTTCAGAATCCAGCTTGATTCTCCTGCCCAGATCCCCTCCTCACTCTTACCGAAGTAGCCGCCTGCTCCCAACACCCCTGCCCTGGGGTGAGGTCTGGTCAGGCATTTACAGAGCTCACCACATGGGTCCTTTTGTGTAGGGGTGGGGGGTGGGGAGTCTGCTGGGCTGGCACATGGCCCAGTGCCACAGGGCTTGGGGGGAGGGGAGGTGCTACCTTGACTCTGAGATTCTCTGCATAAGCTTCAGCGGGTACCTTGCCACAGAGGAGAAGCCTGGAAACCGTTCCCCTTTTATTTCCACGAGTATCCCTTGAGCTTTCCAGAGCCCCACATGACCTATTTGCTTTAGGGCTTTTAGGGAGGTTTGTCTTTGGTGTCATGTCCCTAATCCACCTTCCGGGATTGATCAGATTGGGATTAGATGTGAGTCTGGCGGTTTTGCTGGACAAAGGACATTGTTTTAAGATACCTGCCTTTTGTTTAGTTTTTGGTTGTGTGTGTGTGTGTGTGTGTTGGCTTGTTCTCATGCGGATAAGTGTATGTGTGTGTCTCCTGGTTTTATTCCTGCAGACTGGTGATGTGGCTTCCAGATATGCCCGAGGACATCCGGGGGCTGCAGTGGCTCACCTCGAGTGTGTGTTCGCGAGTGATGACACAGCTCTTCCCCACCTCCAGGTCAATGATTTGGCTGTGGGTGTGTGGGTCTGGCAGGGACCTTTCATCTGCGGGTTGGGGGGTGCCTATTTATGCAGATTCTCGTCTGGCCCCACACTTGCTGAATCGCAGTCTGGGGCGCGGGGTGCCTGGGGGTGGAACCCAGCATCCTTTGTCGCTACCATGGCCCCTGGGATGCCGCTGCTTCTGAATTCTGAAAACTGATTCAGAGCAAGAAGGGCTTGGTTGCAGCTACAAGGGTTGGGTCTAATCCTGAAAATCGTGGGCCTTGACGGTCTCACCTGTTCCGTGCGGGTGTTCTTCATCTCCTCACTGGGTTTTTTTGAGGCTTTGGGGAGCCCCTGGCATGGTACTGGCCACGTGGTGGGCACTCAGGAGATGGGGTCTCAGTGCTATTGGCAGACATGGAAGGATTCAAAGTAGGGGAGTGGAAGGGTCTGGTTTGCACTGGGCAATGATTCTAGTGGCCATGGGAAGGAGCCCTCATCACTGGGCCCTCGGGTGGCAGGCTCACCAGCAAGAGGGCAATTGCCCTGGTCCAGGCAAGGATGAGGAGGGCCTGGTCTCACTAGAACCCGTGGGACTGAGGTGTTCATAGGCTCTAGGGCCAGGAGATGCCAGTTGCAAGCCCTGGGGTCTGCCTGCATTCAGAGGGAGTGGGGCAGCTGGTCAGAAGGAGGTGGCCTGGGGATGGTAGTGCAGGCCAGTGGGCGAGCTGGTCTATGCGGAGGAAGCTGATGGGCTCTGTTGTGCCTGTGGACGTCCAGTGGGAGGGGTCCAGGCGGCTGGAGGGCCACCAGCTTAGAACCCCAGGGTGGCGACATCAGCCCAGCACGGAAGGGTGGAAGGCGCCGTGGCTTTGGACACCACCACCCTGCAGTGCCCAGAGGTGCACTTGGCGTTGGCTGGTGGCGTCCATCCATCCTTGCTGATGAAGGCCAGTGGCTGAGTTAGTATTCTTCACTCGTTTCAGATCCCAGACACCAGCAAGCGGCCAACAGCCTTCCCCGAGGGACTTATGAAGGCACTGCTACCTTCCCTGCTGTCCAGTAGGGGCCGGAGCTGAGGCTGCTTGGCAAACCTGTCCTGTCTGGCCTGGCTTTGGGGGGCTGGAGCTGGGAGGGACTCCTCCTTTCCCACTCCTCATGCAGAAGCGTTCATGAGGAGACAAGTCTAGGACATTCTTTCGCAGGTACTTCCCGATCTCTCTGTAGCTACGTCCACACTGGCATTCGATGCCCTGATGTCTGTGACACACGGGGTCCTGCCTCTGTGCTGAATTTATAGTTTACTGAAACCAAAGGCAATCTAGTGTTTTTAGGAAAAGCTAGGAAGCTACTTTTGGTGTATGTGGTGGTCTAGAGCTTAAGGAAGTCTAACATTTAAGCATCTGGGTCTGTTAGCTTGGTTGGCTGGGAAATGACACCAGGAAGCCCAGGATGGAGGGGCCACTGCCAACTGTCTTGCCGCCCTCCCAGTGCAATGTTCCTAGAATAGCCTGTGTTGTGATGGGTTGGGGGTGGGTGGGGGTGCGGGTGGGGGTACCTATGGCTGGGGGTTGGGCTGCCCTTTGTGCAGTCTTGGGGTTTGGAAGGAAGAGTAACGTGATCCTGTTTCCCCAGACAGGAAGTGGTCAGTGGCGCGGGAGGGGGTGGTAGCCTTCTCCAACGAGGGCACTGACGCTCGTGGGCCATTAAAAGATGCTCAATTATTTACATTTTGGAACACTTTTTTTGACCTAGCTTAAATATTTGATAGAGTTTTGTATAAAATATAAAGGAGTCTTATTATCTGTTGCATTGTATGTGAATCAGGGAGGTATTAATAAGCCTTACGAAAAAATAGAATTCCAGTGCACATATAGACATCCCGGGCCCCCAGGCAGTAGCCCAGCACAACAGAAGGGCTTGTGGCCTGTGCCCCTTTTTTCTCAACGTCCCCTGCCCACTTCTGTACTCCCAGAGCCTTAATGGAGACAAGCAAGAGACGGGGACCTACCTTCTCCCCAGGTGTGATTCGTTGGCAAGCACAGAGTAAAGTGACTGCAGGTGAACTGTGCTGTTTTTCTTATTTATGCATTTGAGTGTAACCAAACGGAAGCAGTGATAAGCTCAAAATCCTCAACATTGGCACAGCAAGCTGCATCTCTCACCTGTAGCGAGTCAGTACGCTGGGAGTTGAAGAACCAGCAAGTTCAGACACAGCACTTTCTTACAAGGACAGACCCTTAAAAAGAGAGATGTGGTTCTAGGGGCAGCCTCTAGGCGAGCCCGTTCCCTTGAGCTGCCATGAGATTATGGACTCCTAGAAGCAGGCTCCTTGTGAGCATATGGGGCTACCGCCCAGCACACAGAACCCCCCCTTTGCGGCTCCTTGCTGGGTCCTTGTGTCTCGGGGACATGGGGACTGAGGCTCCCGTTCTGATAGCGCTCGCCTCCTCAAGGAGGCAAGAGCTGGTGAGAGGCAGGCTCTCCCAGCTGCTTGAAGCCCCAGAGCAGGACCCTGCTCCTTGCTGAGCTGGCCTAGGGGTGGGGGAGACCAGGCCTGACACCCACCTCGCACCTTCCCCTGAGCCCCTGATTCTCAAGTTCCCTGATCAGCTGTCTTCTGTCAGAAGCACAGCACTGGTCAGCAGCTAGGAGCACGCTTCAGCTGTATTTTCAATAGCCGCCATATTTTTGCATAGACCATATGTACGCTAGTTCTCTGATCACCATAAGGAAGGAATTATGTCAACAGCTGGTAGGATTACGTGCAACTGCTTTTCTTACTACTTTTTGAATTGGTTCCACCTCACAATGAGCATGTGTTTTATAATTTTTTTAAAATATGTGTGCAAAGACAAAGAAGGATACTGTTCTTTTAGAAACGGCCAAGGCTCCATTCCCCACCTGCGCGTTAATGCCACCCAGCCCCACACCTCTCCAGCTCTGCTGAGGTTGCTGATCAGCACACAACAACATTCTTCAGTTCCTACCACCGTATCAAACAAAACTCCTTTATCTGGCGCATTTATGCTCTGGAAGACACTCCACTGTCAGGAATAGTAACTGTGTGGTCTAGTAAATGCCAGGGAGCAACAGTCTTTATTTGGTGAACAGGTAACAAAAACCTGGTGCAGAGCGGGAGCCTCGTCTTATTTAAAAACACCCGAAATTGTGGGTGTGTATGTGTGTACAGAGGAAAGGTGGAGAACGTATACACCCCAGTACTGACAGTGGATGTCATTACGCCATTATCTGTAATTACAGCCCATTTGTTGTGCTTGTAGGTGGTTTTCAAATTTCTGTGGTAAATATTTATTACCTTCATTGGGAAATAACTCATAATAAACGTGACTTTGAAAACATTTTCCGTTGTCTCTACATTCTCTCAGGAGCCCCGCTTTTGTTTTCCTTCCCTCACAGACAAGTTCCTTCAAATGCTGCCCCCCTCCCCCCAGGTTTATGGCCCCACCAGCCAGGTGCTCTCCACATGCTCTGTCCTGGACACTGGACCAGAACCCCCCACTCCCTAGAGTCCCTCTCCTTCCTCTGGGACCCCAGACTGTCCTGAGTGCTGGGCTCGTCCCCAAGGCTCAGCCTTGCCTCCTATACAAGTTCACAGCGCTCCTGGGGCAGGGGGGGCTCACTCTGAGGACCCAGTCTCTGGCTCAGGTGAGGGGCAAGCCCACCCGGTCACCTCCACCTGGATATTCCTTGGCATAACGCAGCACCTCAACATAACTCCTTCCGTGCAGAGCTGCCCTGTATCTGTCAACTTCCAGGTTGCCTGAGCCAGGACCCAGGGACTCACTGAGCGCCTTCTCCCCGTCTGACCCTGCCCCCTCCAGCTGGTCCCCATCCTGCTGTGTCCACCTCCACTTAAGGCCTCTGGAATCTAGCCTCTTGTCCCCAGCCCACTCCCTAGAGCCCATGCCACAGGGTGTCCCAAACTAAGAGGTGAGTGACCTCTGTGGGCATCTATGGGAAGACCCAGTGTCCCTTCCTTACAACCTCTGAGCCTGAGGTTTGATTTTATTAAGGGAACCAGTGTGGTCACCGAACTGCGTTTCTACTACTGATGGGGCCAGATCAACACTGTGTAAGCCAAGTTTTCTCAAAAGCTGGCGTCCTTGCAGGTCTCACTAGGTGATTTGATCAGTTAGGATAGGCTGGGTTATGTTGCATTTAACAAAGACTCCCCCAGAAGATTTATTTCTCATACTATATGTCCACCAGACTTGGCTGGCCCAGCCTGAAACTGTCCTTCCATCTGGAGGGTCACCGATCACAGCAACAGGGAGAAAGGAATATGGTGCTCTAAGGTTGTCATCCAGACATACCTATCTCTTCTGCCTACAACCTGCTGACCAAAGCAAGTCACGTGGATGGGGGGGAAAATACAACCCTACCTTTTGCCCAAAAGAGGAGCACCAGAATTACTGATGAACACCACTGAGGGCCAAGGAGCCTCAAAACCCAAAGTCTCTTGACCCAATCAGTTTAGGAAATACTGGGTTCAAGAAAATGAAACAGGTATGGGTACTGCAGGACTTCTCAGAGCCTTTAATATGTTAATATGCCTTTTGACTGTCAAGAGATGGTACTTTGAGGATGGAGCTGTTTCTGATGTGTCTTCTGTCACCTCATCACCAGTGCCTTGTACCCAATAGACTCTCAAATATTTGGCTCAGGGCCCTTGTTACAATCTGCGGGTCAACCTCATGGCTTATCTTTGAGAAGAGGCTTACTCAAGAGAATAACGAAGGAGAAAATACAGGAAGATCTAGTTTATTCAGTGTTTACAGTGAGCCAGGCACCATGCTTTATCTCATCAAATCCTCGGTATACCATCATGCCTTAGAAACTGCTATCATCCCCATTTTTCACATGAGGGAACGGGAAGTGGCAGAAGGAATTCACAGCTTGTGTGATTTGTGCTTAAAATTTGCTGCTAGATTATCTTTGAAAATCTCTGTCAAAGTTTTCACACGTAAAATTTGAGGTGGAGCTGGGGGGTTGTGAGACACCAAGACTCACTTTGGTGGTCAGGGGAAGGTTTCCTGAACCCCAGGAGCTGGAGAGGCAGATGGGTAGGTCAACCTGCAAGGGGCGCAGTGAAGGAAGGACAGGGCCCTGGCAGGTGCTGACTGGGACCCCAGGGACACGGGAGGCTTGGGTGCTATTTAAATGGAAATGGGTGTCAGGAACTCTGGGAGAGGGCGGTGTGGGGAGGGGGAGAAAAAGAGGTGAAATGATGCTCTGTTATCAGGAGGGAGTGGACACAAAATGCTGACAGTCCCTCTTATTCTATCCCCCTTAGCTGTTTCTCACTGCATTTGTCACAACGTGTGATGACATGGGGTTTTTTTGGGGGGGGGGGCTGTTTTCTCCACCAAAATGAAGCCCCGTGGCCGTGTTGTTCTCCGCCCCCAGTCCATCCCTTGGACCACCCTCGCTAGTACTTACTGGCTGCAGCTCAATGGACGATGGCCATTGATTTACCCACCGTTCACCGAGGGCCCTGCGATGTGCCCGGCGCTGTCACACTCCGTCTTATTCCAATCCCGTGACGTAGTATGACCCTCACCTTCCCTTTACCAACGAGGGGCCAACCCTCGAGGACTTCCGCGACTGTTAGGACCCGGGCGGCCAGCGGGAGGGTAGCAGGTGCCACCGCGGATCTGTGCTGACCCTGAGGCCGGAGGCGAGCCTCGGCACTTAGCCAGGGCGTGGGGCCCGCACAGCACCCGCCGGGCCGGGGCGCCAGGAGGGCAAAGGGAAGACCCTGGGTGAAGCCTTGGCGCACCCACCAACCGTCTGCTCTCTCCCAGGCGCGACTCCGGGCGCCGGCTCCCGGCGGACCCCCTCACTGACCCGCGCCCCAAGCGCCGGCAGGGGCGCGGGCATCACTGGACGCTCTGCGCTTGCGCGGCCCGCGGGGCCTCCCGGCGTCCGTGTGAACATCCGGATCACGGGCTCTTAAGGACCAATGAGCGGAAGCACCGTGAGCCAGGGGGCGGGGTATCATGGCTGCCGCCAGTGCGCCGCGTCCGGGGACTTGTGGGTGTTACGCTGACTGACAGCTCCGCTACCGCGGACCCGCCCTCTGCCCTCGTCAGCCGAGCCGTGGTCAGGCCCGGGTAGCTCTGCGAGGCGGCGGCCGGAGAGGGAGCCATGGGGACAGTGCACGCCCGGGTAAGAGGCCCAGCGACCGGCGGGCCGCGTGACCTCTGGGCGGGCGCCGCGGGGAGACGCTCTCGCGCTGCGCCCGGGGTTCCCCCGGTAAGGGGACACCGAGGACGGCGGGGCCTGGAGGCCTCGTGGGGGAGGCCGCAAAGACGCTGCCGGCGGGTCCCGCAGACCTCCGAGCAGGAAACCGGTACCCAGAAGGGGGACGTGACTTGCCCAAGGTCACTCAGCGAGGCGGTGGCCCAGAAAGGACTAGCGAACTTTCCGTGGTGACCCGGAGCGGAGTAATAAGTTTTCCTCTCCGCGAGTTGATTTCTCTAGCCTCCGCCGTTTCAGGCGTCTTCTCTCCTTACCGGTCACCTTCTCCAGTCTCCCGCTCAGCCCCTGCTGGGGTCATGATGGACCCCTAGAGCGTCAGGTATCCTTTGAAGACCCAGACCCATCTAGGACCCCTCCTTTCTCCTGCTCTCGGTGCAGAGACAGAAGCTCTCCACGCTTTAGTTGCTCCTTTTAAAGTGGTAGCAGTAATAGCACTTACCAGTTGTGAGAGTTAAGACACAGGAGGTGAAAGTACTTGCTTGGGTGCTTGGTGCGTCCTCACTGCTTGCCAAACTGCTCTCCTTTGTCGTAATCTTAACTGAGGGCCAGAGAATGAATGGTTTGTCCGAGGTCACACTTGTTAGAGCCTCCGAATGTTCCCAAACTCAGACCTCCTGAGTCCCACTCCTCCGCATTACTTTTCTACTGCAACATGGACTGTTTTCACTTGTCCTGCTCAGGAGTTTTCAGTAGTTTCCCGGTAGCTTCCCAAAGAATTTAGCACAGACCCCTCAGCTTTGCATGGGCAGTTGAACTTCACTCTGCTTCACAGATCATTCAAATGAAACACAGTAACTGTTCTGACACACTCCTTGGACTGTACCTTGTCCAGCAGCTCCTCACTCACCCACCCCCAGGCCCATCATCAGCCATGGAAATAGCCCCATCTTTTAGAGCTCAGTTCCGGTCACTTCCTACTTCAACCTCCTCATCTGCCTTCATTTGGATGTGCTGATAACTTCCTTGAAGTTTTTCCTCTGGCGCCTGTTTTAGCTCTGTTTGGATTTTTCTCTTACTCCTTTCCAGTCTGTTTGTAGATATTACAGTAGGAGCTGGATCTTACTTGGTTTGCATCCCATGTAGCATCTTCAACAAAGTAGGCATTCATTCAGTTATTTCTGTAACATTTCCCATTGGTCTGCTAGGTGCCTGGTATGGCTTCTTAGGGTTACAGAAAAAAACAAAAAAAATCTTTGTTTTTATTGAGCTCTTTTGGTGCTAAAATTGCTGCTTTGATTAATATGTTGGCAAAAAATATTCTTTAATTTGAACTTTCAGCCCACTAGCCAGTGTTACTTGAATGCTTTGGTCAGGATTCACAGTAAGAAAACATTTTATATTTGCCATCTAGTACCCTCATGCATATGTGAAGCAAAAATTTTGTGAAACAATATTTACCATGAATATCTGTTATGTTTTCTTATATTTTCTATTTGATTTTAGCCTGTATCACTTTAAAGGTGCTGTTCATAACTCATTAAATTGATTGCATGTTCTATCCCTTCAGTTAGCACTGCCTTGCACGGTACCTGGATCATGGCGTTCAAGAAAACTTGCTGGGGGCGCCTGGGTGGCTCAGTCGGTGAAGTGTCTGCCTTCAGGTTAGGTCATGATCCAGGGTCTTGGAATGGAGCCCTAGTCAGGCTCCCTGCTCAGCGGGAAGTCTGCTACTCCTTCTCCCTCTTCTGCCCTTCCCACCTTGTGCGTGAGCACACTCTCAAATCTCAAATCTCAAATAAATAAATAAATAAATAAAATCTTTAAAAAAAAAAAAAGAAAACTTGCCGACTGGTAGGCTGAGCTGATGAAAGGATAGAGCTAGATCCAAATATTTATTTTAATTCATTTCACCAAATACTTACCCGTACCTGCTCTTCCAGACACTGGAATATAAATTTATGAAGGTGAGGATCTTGTATGCACTTTCCACATGATATGTTCTTAATATTTGGTGAGTGAATGAATCTCTATTAGTAAGGCCGTTATTTTAGGACATCAAACTTTGGTGGAACTGTGAAATCATAAAGACATCATCTCTTAAAGTTTGAATTTCTTTTTTTGTTTTAAGATTTTATTTATTTATTTACAGAGAGAGAGACAGCGAGAGAGGGAACACAAGCAGGGGGAGTGGGAGAGGGAGAAGCAGGCTTCCCACGGCGCAGGGAGTCCGATGCGGGGCTCCATCCCAGGACCCTGGGATCATGACCTGAGCCAAAGGCAGACACTCAACTGACTGAGCCACCCAGGTGCCCTAAAGTTTGAATTTCTGATTAAAGTATACAAGTGGGCATGGCAGATCCCTAGCCTTATTTCATGCTTTGAAATTTTAGGAACTGTAATGGAATTTTTTTAGTATTGTGGAATATAAACCTTGTGCCCAGATAAAGCATAAATAGAATGAATATGTGCTTATGTTCCTAACCGTAGTATATATTCTGCATACAGATTTAGCACAAATTTAATATACTTTTTTACACTATGTAAACTTAAATGCAGGAAGCATATTCGTGAAATGGTGCAGGTAAAAAGTTACTTTTTAAAAATTTGTTAATATTTTGAGAGATTAATCATTTTTTTATAATATTACACCACAAAAATGAAAAGATGATATGAAACAAATGATAAATCCTTTGCCCAGCATTATCTTCCCTATTTACTTAAGGAAATATTCCACTTTAACCACTGTGAGGCAAGGACCTGGTCTGTCTTGCTCACTGCTGCATCCCCAACTGTTAGCCCAGTGCTTGGCATGCAGTAGTATGAACTTCCAGTGTCAAGAGGTGTCCCAGCACAGGAGGGACTGATTCTGCCTGAAGAAGCCAGGGATGGCTCACAGAGATGACATTTAAGGCAGATCATTTTAGGGAGGAAGTTGTACCGAGCAGAGAGAATGAGGTGTGCACCAACATGCATGTGAGGGTCAGGGAGTGCTGCAGGTTGAACTTGGAGTCGCAGATGTGGGCCTTAGGGTGGGGTTCCTCATGTGTCCTGCTAAGGGATCTAGTTGGATTCTATACCTCTAGGCACTCTCGAGGGCCATCACAGTCTTTTAGAGCAGGAGTGGGAAAGAGGACACGTCAGGTCATTACCTTTCCAGACAACCAGTGACATTATGGAGGAAATAATGATAAGTCTGTCGAGTGTATCTGGGGAAAGGGGAGAAAGTCCCAGAGTCTCCATTGCTGCACATACTGCAGATGTCAAACATGTCTGTGCACTTCAAAAGCACTTATTTGCAGAGAATTGGTGGAGTAAGGAAGCAGCCAGATACTGGTTAGGGCAGTTTTCCCCAAACTTGCATATTTGTACAATTGCCTGGTCCCACACTAGGCCTTCTGAATCCATTTCCGGGAGCGTCTGGGAATCCCTGTATTTAAGCAAGCATGTACGTAACATACGATATCATACATGTGTTATTATAAATTCTATTATATTGACACATTCTCCCTGGAAGTACTGTACCAGCCACAGCCTCTGGAATCCTTATTCAGAAGTTACTTTAATGCTTTTGAGATGAGAGGTCAGTTCAGACTGTAGAAAGTGACTGCCTTCTGGCACATTTTATGAATATTCACAGTTTCTTTTAATGTGTTAATGAGGCTTTCAGGGTACAGAGAAATAGGTTTTAGTAATTTGATTTGTCACTATAGTTATCCTAGAACATATCCAATTTTGTTTTAAAAAATTAGAATACTTTGGGGCGCCTGGGTGGCTCAGTTGGTTAAGCGACTGCCTTCGGCTCAGGTCATGATCCTGGAGTCCTGGGATCGAGTCCCACATCAGGCTCCCTGCTCAGCAGGGAGTCTGCTTCTCCCTCTGACCTTCCTCCCTCTCATGCTCTCTGTCTCTCATTCTCTCTCACACAAATAAATAAAATCTTAAAAAAAAAAAAAATTAAAAAAAAATTAGAATACTTTCTAAAACAAAAAAGCAATTTTTTTCTTTTCTTTGATGTCTTTTTTTTTTTTTAAGATTTATGTATTTATTTGAGAGAGAGAGAGCAGGGGGAGGGGCAGAAGGAGAGGGAGAGAGAATCTCAAGCAGACACCCCGCTGAGAGCAGAACCCAACACCGGGCTCGATCTCATGACCCTGAGATCATGACCTGAGCCGAAATCAGGAGTTGGATGCTTAATCAACTGAGCCACCCAGGTACCCCTTTTGATAAATGTCTTTGTGGCACCTTATTTTTTAACTTTTTTTTTTCTTCAAATGGGCCTTAGGTGTATAGGTCCAAACAGCCATAGTCCCAGAGACCTCAGTTAATGACACTGTCATCATAGGTTCATGCCTGCCCCTTTCAGTTATTTTTCATCTTTATTTTATTTATTAGTAATACACTGGACACCGTGGAGGGAGCTCACAATCAATCCAGGATTTGTACATCAACAGTACTTACATCTGTCCTTTGCTTCCCAGCCTCCACTCCACAGAGGGAAACATGGTACTGAGCTTTCTGGAGCACCATCTAAAGACAAAATGCACAGATTTTTGTTTTTTTATGTAAGCTTATTATTTATCTGTGTTTTCTCCCTCCCTTTTAGAGTTTGGAGCCTCTTCCAGCTAATGGACCTGATTTTGGAGCATTAGGAGAAGAGGCTGAGTTTGTTGAAGTTGAACCTGAAGCCAAACAGGAGATTCTTGAAAACAAAGATGTGAGTTTCTGCTGAAGGGCTTGATGCAGTTCCTGCCGGAGACATTTGCTTCCCTAGACCCCCAGGGAGACAGAAGGATTAACCTGTCTCATTGCCTTCATTTAAGAAGACCTGGTAGCCAACTACGTTTTAGAAAGGCTGGCGACTTTTAGAAAAGTAGTTTCTGGGGCGCCTGGGTGGCTCAGATGGTTAAGCGTCTGCCTTCGGCTCAGGTCACGATCCCAGGGTCTTGGGATCGAGTCCCGCATCGGGCTCCCTGCTCAGCGGGGAGCCTGCTTCTCCCTCTGCCTCTCTCTCTGTCTCTTATGAATAAATAAAATCTTTAAAAAAAAAAAAAAAGAAAGAAAGAAAAGTAGTTTCTGGTTTTAGAGAAATCCGTTTATTTATGTGGGAAGCTTAAACAAACGTATTTTTGTACTTAAGTTATAAGAAAAAAACAAAGTATTTCAAGGACAAACTCAAATTATAATTAAGTTTATACTGTGTCCAGAAAAAAAGAGTGAAACTTTTCCTAAGCTTTGTTGCCTTTGAAATTTAAATCCAGCTGAAAGAAGTATAAGCACATTTTCAGTGGTTGTGTAATTAAGAACTTCTGCAGTATTCTGATTACTTTCAGATATGCATTTCCCTAATACTTCTTATTATTCCTGCTTTATTTTCTCTGTTACTCATTACCATCTACTGTACTATATATGTTGCCTATTTCTACCCTCGTTAGAAGGTAAGCTCCATCGAGTCAGGAATTTATGTCTTGTTCACTGCTATATCCTCAGTATTTAGAATAATACCTGGCTGTTAGGTGATTGGTGCATTGTTATTGAATGAATTAATTAAATAAGCTTTTACAGATAATAAGGTAAGAGGCTCTGAGCCAGCATTTATCATGTTTACTGAAATATGCAGAAGCTCTCTAGCAAGATGCACAGTTATTAAATTGGGGGTCACAGCATCAGCCAGGGGCCAGTGCTCTGGGAGCACACTGGGAAGGCTATATGGGGGACCTCTGTGGCCTGCTTGGGTTTAGGACTGTCGTGGTCCTTGGTCATCCAGCTACAGAGACCTTGTAAGTCTCAGTCACAGGAAGTACAGACCTGGCAAAGGATAGGTTCAGGTAACCAGTTTTTTTCAAAAGGCAGGAAAATAAATGAAGTCTGGAATTAAGAAGTATGGATCATTAAACTTGAAAAAAAAAAAAAATCCTTGGTTTAATTGTCAGACATTTGTCTTTAGCCTTGATGCCTACTTTCTTGTCCAGTATCATACTTAATAATCTGTGTCCCTGCAAAAGAATGAAACTGGACCACTTTCTTACACCATACACAAAAAATAAACTCAAAATGGATTAAGGACCTAAATGTGCGACCTGAAGCCATTAAAATCCTAGAACAGAGCACAGGCAGTAATTTCTCTGACATCAGCCATAACAAATTTTTTCTAGATAGGTCCCCTGAAGTAAGAGAAATAAAAGTAAAAATAGGCTACTGGGACTGCATCAAAATAAAAAGCTTCTGCATGGTGAAGGAAACAGTCAACAAACGTAAAAGGCAGCCTACTGAATGGGAGAAGTTATTTGCAAATGACATATCCATTAAAGGGTTAGTATCCAAAATACGTAAAGAACTTACATGACTCAACACCAAAAAAACAAATAATCCAATTAGAAAATGGGCAGAAGACATGAATAGATACTTCTCCAAAGAAGACCTACAGATGGCCAGTGGACACATGAAAAGATGCTCCACATCACTCATCATCAGGGACATGCAAATCAAAACCACAATGAGATATCACTTCACACCTGTCACAGTGGCTAAAATCAACAATACAAGAAACAACAGGTGTTGGCGAGGATGCGGAGAAAGGGGAACCCTCGTGCATTGTTGGTGGGAGTGCAAACTGGTGAAGCCACTGTGGAAAAAATTAGAAATACCCTATGATCCAGTAATTCCACTGCTGGCATTTCCCCAAAGAATATGAAAACCCTAATTTGAAATGATTCCACCACGATGTTTGTTGCAGCATTATCTACAATAGCCAAACTATGGAAGCAGCCCAAGTGTCCATAGACTGATGAATGTATAAAGATGTGGTATAGATACATAATGGAGTGTTACTCAGTCCTAAAAAAGAACGAAACCTTGCCATTTGCAATGACATGGATGGAGCTGAGAGTATGATGCTGAGTGAAATAAGTCAGTCAGAGAAAGACAAATACCATATGATTTCACTCATATGTAGAATTTAAGAAACAAAACAGACAAAGAAAAAAAGACAAACCAAGAAACAGATTCTTTTTTTTTTTTTAAAGATTTTATTTATTTATTTGAGAGAGAGAATGAGATAGAGAGCATGAGAGGGGGGAGGGTCAGAGAGAGAGGCAGACTCCCTGCTGAGCAGGGAGCCCGACGTGGGACTCGATCCCAGGACTCCAGGATCATGACCTGAGCCGAAGGCAGTCGCTTAACCAACTGAGCCACCCAGACGCCCCCCAAGAAACAGATTCTTAACTACAGAGAACAAACTGGTGGTCACCAGAGGGGAGGCCGGTGGGGGGTGGAGGAAACAGGTGATGTGGATGAAGAGTACACTTGTCCTGATGAGCATGGTGTAATGTATAGAATTGTCGGATCACTAAATTATACACCTGAAACTAATTGAACACTGTATGTCATCTATACTGGAATTAAACAAAAAACAAAAAAAGACCAGCATTTAAAACCTAAAAAAAAAAAAAAATAGTGATAATCCATGTCCCTTCGTCACATTTAGGTGGTTGTTCAACATGTTCATTTTGATGGACTTGGAAGAACTAAAGATGATATCATCATATGTGAAATTGGAGATGTTTTTAAGGCGAAAAACCTTATCGAGGCAAGTAGTCTCCCTGCTTGGCATAGTTTCCGTTCCCTTCTAAAGAACCTACAAATCTGTCTCAAAGCCCCGAGCTCCCGCCCCAGCCTCTCCGCTGATAACCTTGCCTCCTACCCTGAAGGGAGCCTCAGTGCCCCCAAGCCGAGCCCCCTACCCTGGTTCCCTGGGTGCCTCCCAAAAACCTAACCTGTGTTTGCTTTCGCCCTTCCCTCCAGCCTCTCTTCCTGCAGAGGCTGGTCCATACGTGTGTTCTTCACAAGCACCAGCACTGTGATAGGAGCGGACCACGTTGCTTGCTGACTTCCTCCCTGGCACCCCACTTAGCGCTCTAGCATGCTCTCGTGGGGTGGGTGCTCTGTCGTTACCCACTCCTGCTGTCTCCTTGGGACACTTGCTCCATTTATCTACCATCTCCATCCTCTCCTTGGTCAGTGCCTTCCATCCTTCTGCCCTTGGAGCCACGTTGGAGGCAGAGTCCCCACCAGCCTCCTGGAGGCCAGGTTCAGGCAGCCCCTGTCAGTACCCACATTCCTTAATCTTTAGACAGTGTTTGACCATTCTCACTTTAAAGAAAATTGCTATTTTTTTTTTTAAGATTTTATTTATTTGACAGAGAGAGACACAGCAAGAGAGGGAACACAAGCAAGGGGGAGTGGGAGAGGGAGAAGCAGGCTTCTCGCGGAGCAGGGAGCCCAATGTGGGGCTCGATCCCAGGACCCTGGGATCATGACCTGAGCCGAAAGCAGACGCTTAACAACTGAGCCACCCAGGCGCCCTGAAAATTGCTATTTTTTTAAAAAAAAGAATATATAAGCACAATCTTTAAAAAGCATCGAACCATCTGGTGGTACAGAGGATACTGAACTGAAAGGTAGGCATTTCCCTCCCCCGCTGGCCCCAGTCTTACTCCCCAGGGGTCAGCGGGCTGGGGCTCCTGTATGGTGTGTGTCACGCACATGTAGACACAATAACCCCATTCCCAACATTTTCCTGCACCTTTCATTTTTGATACTATATGGAGATCTGTTGCATTAATACATTTAAAATTCTTGCCCACCTGTCAGGGAAATACCCTGTGTCCTTGTTTTCATTGGGGCTTTTTCCCAGTGAATGAGACTGAGCACCTTTCCCAGGTTTACTGGCCGTTCATGTATTTTGTGAATTACCTGTTGGTGTCTCCCATTTACCATTGGATTGTTAGGTTTTGTTAATTTACAAGGGCTCCTCGCATAGGACAGAAGTGATCTCTGTCACTGACACGAATACATTTCTCTTGTTCTGTTGTCTTTTGAGATTGTTTTTATCTTCCCTCTTTCTCAGCGTTTTCTCTCCCCCTGATTTCCACAGATCCCACACTCTCCTGGGCTGCTTGCCCCTCTCCTCACGTTCACTTTAGGCTGCACTGTCAGCTTCTTTCTCTGTGACCATCCTTATGTGTTGCTTTTCCATGAGGATTGTCTGCTGGGGGTTCTCAACCACACCCCTGGTCTCACTACAGCCTGTGTGGTAGGGCCCCCCACTTCTACTTCTTGCCAGGCCTCTGTTGAGCTTTAGGCTCGAATATGCACCTGCCTGCTAAGCATTTCCTCATGGGATCGCCACAAACATCTCCAACCCTATGTGGCCAGAGAAGGAACTCATCGTCCCTTTCCCCCTAGCCCCTGCTGGCCCTTCCTTCTCTGTCTCTGACTTCTCAGTGGTTTCTCTAATGGTACCCAGAAGTGCTTAGCCGAGAGCGGAAAGTTGGTATAGTCTCCTCTCTCTCCTGCCCTCCAACCAGTCAGTGACCGTCCTCGGGCTCCGCGTGTGACGTGTGTGTAGTCTGTCCTCCCCCAGCACCGTGACCCGTGCTCAACAGCTGCCCTCCCAGGCCCCGGGGCTGCTGTGAGCAGCTCCTCCTGCCTCCCTCTGCCCCTTTTTCTTTCTCCATGTTCATCCACACTATCAGTTGTCTCTCCTGAGGAAGTTCTACCCTGTCTGTCCCCTGCTGGAAGCTCCGAAGTCAGTCCCCTTTTACCTGCAGGACAGGCTCTAAGCCATGCGTATTATGAGTCCTGCCCTACTCTGCTCCCCGAGAGCCTTTCCTGCCCTGCCCTTCTACTTCTGCCTGTCCCTCCAGCAGGAAAGGACTGCTGGCCTCAGAAGACACCGCTGTCAACATTGAAGAAAGAAAAAAGCAGAACAGTGGTTAGAAAACACGAGCAACACAAAAAGGCACACAACATGGTCTCCCTTGCACCAAACACAACCACTGTAACGACAGATCGTCATCCCTCCGAGGAGTCCTGCCGGGCGGGGTGCATTTTGACTAGTTTTTTTTGTTTGTTTGTTTGTTTCTGTGAAAGGGATCTTGTCAATGCACCTGCTTTCTGTCCTCATTCGGGGTTTGCTCTTCTGAACGGGGTGTTGTTGCTCCCTGAGTGCTGTCCATCCCCTTCACGTGTCTAGTCTCCGTGGGGCCGCCTTCTCAGTGACTCAGCAACAGTGCTAAACCCCCAGGCCGGTCAGATGGCCACCAGCTGTGCTCCTGTCCTAGAGGAAGACCTTCTCTTTTTGACTTCTCTCACAGGTGATGCGGAAATCTCATGAAGCCCGAGAAAAACTGCTTCGCCTAGGAATATTTAGACAAGTGGATGTTTTGATTGATACGTGTCAAGGTACCTGCTGTGGCGTAATATCCCTCATTATCCCTCCCGTCCATCCTGCAGGATCACAGAAGCTGAACATGTGGCCAGACAGATAGCATCTGGAGGGTTATCACGCACAAAGGTCTTGGTAGTTCACGGTCCCAGGGGGGTCATTGGAATTTTTTTTTTTTTTTTAATGTTGGGCTGAGGGAGGACAGGTGAACTTTGAAGATACTGTCATCTGAACCGGTGGATGGTGCAGGCGTTCTAGGGAGGATCCCAAGGGAGGTCAGCCAGGCTTCATTCGGGATAGCCTAGCCCAACTGGTGTCCAAATGGGCTCTTGGCAGACAGGCTCCATCTAAATGTGTGCTTTCAGTGGGAGGGCACCAGGCCTCAGATTTCACTTTCAGTTTTTGCTCATTTGTTTGCTGCTTGACTTCGCACAAGTCTGCCAGCTTAGTCAACTTGTACTCTTTGGTTGATGAGCACCTGCCGCAGGCAGGCCCTGTGCTGGGTACCAGGGAGAGGCCAGCAGCGAGCAACGCATAGTCTCCTTCCGAAGGAGCTTCCGGGCCAGCAGAGCAGGTCAGGGGCCGTGGGGGGGGACAGCCAGCCCTTCCTGCCCCCTCAGTGAGAGTAGTGACACAGCTGTACCCAGGCGAAGCTCCGTGGTGAGCGTGTGTGTGCAGGATCCCACTGAATCCTCACCCACACCCGGGGAAGTGACTGGCGTTATTTTAGAAAAGATGTTTCCCAGCTAAGGAAACCAAGGCTCAGAGAGGTTTAACTTGCCCCAGATCAGACAAGTGAGTGACAGAAGTGGCCCGTCCGCTACTCTGGAGTGCTTTTCTTTTTTTTTTTTTTTTTTTAAAGATTTTATTTATTTATGTGACAGAGAGGGACACAG